GCTTTTAAAAAGTGCTTATTTAAATATTAGCTATTAAAAGTGTGTTTGTGTATGTATGTACATAATATAAAATATTTATCTCTATCACATTGCACTGATATTGATGAATATTAGCAAAGACATATGTTTTCTGTTTGGCAAAATGATTGCATGGTTCTGTCATCCAAATAATGCTTCACCATCTTTTCTGAAGCATTTTCTTTGCCAATTGTTTGTTTTGTGTGACCTATTGTGTTTGAGAAATGTCGTACTTCACAGAGTCATCGTGAGAACAGGGACACCTCATTTGTACAATGTGTATCTGTAATGGGACATGGCAAGGCCTCTGGTGGTAGAGCAGTTTGGTTCCAATCTTGGTCATCTGAGGCCCTGTGGCAGAGCAGAAAGCCATAGAGTGCAATGATAAAATGCTATATAGTGAGAGCGTAGAACAGCAACTCAGTGAATTTTTGTTAAATAAAGATTCATAGACGATATGATATATTTGTAACAGTGCATATGTGCTTGCTAGTGGAAAATTTTAATCAGGCCTTTCAGAGATGATCCTTCAGCTCCACCCTTGTGAATTCTGCTGAGGACGCTTAGGAAAGATGTGATTACCAGGTGGGAAGATAAGAGACACTCTATAGGGAACCCACAGCATCACCAGAAATCCTGGCTCGTTTCAACCTACTTATACTCTTTGGGGTCAAGTAAACACTTTTCTTTTTTTGAGACGGGAGTCTCGCTCTGTCACCCAGGCTGGAGTGCAGTGGTGCAATCTTGGCTCACTGCAAGCTCCACCTCCCGGGTTCACACCATTCTCCTGCCTCAGCCTCCCGAGTAGCTGGGACTACAGGTGCCCACCATCATGCCCGGCTAATTTTTTTGTATTTTTAGTAGAGATGGGGTTTCACCATGTTAGCCAGGATGGCTTGATCTCCTGACCTCATGATCGACCCGCCTTGGCCTCCCAAAGTGCTGGGATTACAGGCGTGAGCCACTGCGTCCGGCCAAGTAAACCACATTTTGTAGAGCTGTTCAGAACTGAGATTATTTCCTGCATCAATAAATCATATATAAAAATGAAATACATTTTCATTGAAGAGTAAAAAAAAAATTAGGGCAAAATAAGAACACTTTCAAATTAATAAAAGAAAGAAAATCTGAGAATTTGCCATCTTTAGGCCCTCACTATAGGAAGTACTAAAATATTTATCAGTAATGTGAGCCAAGATGGAAGATGTGAAAAGAAGTAATACGATGACTTTACAAAATAATTATGACATGAGTTTAAGATATATTTGAAATAAATAATAAGAAGGTATAAGTTGGGGGGAGGTAAATGTAGTTAAAAGATTCTAAAGACCTTCTATTGTCAGGGATGAGGGTTTCCTAAATAACTTTAAATTTTGTTAAGTAAGAAACAAATGCTTGGATTTCTGGGGCAATCACTAAAAGAATAGAAACACGGAATATAAACTACAAACTTGCAGAGTGGAAGAAATGGAAAGAGAAAAAATATGTAATCAATCCAAAAGAAAGAAAAGAAAAAAACAGAACACGCAGAACAAATAGAAGGCATAAAATCAGACCATAGATTTAAACTCCAATAACTTTTAAAAACCCACATCATTTAGTGTGTAAACAATGGACTAAATGATTCTTTAAGAATGACAGATATAAAAACATCTTAATCATATTATTTTTACAAGAGATGCATCACAAACATTAAGAGCTGGGCACAGTGGTGCCTGCTCCAATTCCACTACCCAGGGGGCTGGGGCAGAAGGATCTCTTGACCCCAGGAGTTCAAATCCAGCCTTCATAACATAGTGAGAACACCTCTAAGGATACAGATTGTTTGGAAGTAAAAGGTTGTCTGAAGAAATATCAAGAGTTTCAGTCAAGGTGTAGTCAGGAAAACAGAAACTTCCCTAGGCATTTTGAATAAAGAAATTTATTTAATATCGAGAATAAGAGGCATACACAATCTTTGAAGTAGCTGGGTGATCAAGATCGGGGGCAAAGGGCACAAGCTGCTTTCACAGGAAATCCGCATCCAGGAAAACAACAGTGGATGATTCGCAGGAAGGTAAATGGTTGTTCCTTATGCAGCTTCCAAATTTTGAGCAGTTGGTCCTCATTGACAGAATTTTATCCAGAATCATAAAAGGAGAGGAATACTGAGAACTATAGCTCTAAGCTTCCCCTTAGAAGCAGAATTAAATGATGAAGGGAACGGTAATGACACCTAGCTGGTAACAAGCAATCCAGCCCCAAAGGAAGTGAATGCAGCTATATTAATATGAGATCAAAATTAAGGCCCAAAACATTACTAGAGATAAAGAGACTCACACTTCATAATACAAAAAATTCCATTCACTAGGAAAATATAATATTTAAATGTGTACACACCTAATAACAAAGCCTCAAAAAATATAAAGCAAAAACAGGCCAGGGGCGGTGGCTCACGCTGTAATCCCAACCCTTTGGGAGGCTGACGCAGGTGGATCACGAGGTCAGGAGTTCAAGACCAGCCTGGCCAAGATGGTCTCTGCTAAAAATACAAAAATTAGCCAGGCATGGTGGCACATGCCTGTAATCCCAGTTACTTGGGAGGCTGAGGCAGGAGAATAGCCTGAACCCAGGTGGCAGAGGTTGCAGTGAGCCAAGATCGTACCACTCCACTCCAGCCTGGGCAACAGAGTGAGCTTCCGTCTCAAAACAATATATATATATATATAATTATATATAATATATGTATAATAGAATATATGTATATTATATATGCATATATAATATATGTATATACATAAAATATATATACACACATATATATAAAGCAGAAACTAACAGGACTACAAGGAGAAATAGATGAATCCACAATGTTAGTGGATAGATTTTATACCTTTCTTAGAAATGAACAAAAAGTCAGCAAAAATATGCAAGAATTGAAAATATGAGCAAACTTGACTTAAGGGGCACTGCTCCCAATAACTTCATTATTTTCTAGCACACACAGAACACTTAAATATTGACCACATTCTATAAAGAACATTTCTAAAAATCAAAATTATATACAGTATGTTATAGAACCTCAATAAAGCTAGAAATCAATAGCAAAGAAGTTGTTTTAGAACTCCTATTTTAGAAATTAAGAGTCATATTTCTATGTGACTCATGAGTCATAAAAAATAAGAAATATTTAGAAAAATAAAATACTGCATTTTAAAAATATATGGGATCAGCTAAAGCAGTATATAGAGTAAAATTTATAGCCTTAAATGCATGTGTTAGAAAAGAAGAAAAACTGAAAATTAAATTACTAAGCGTGAAAAAAAAAAACAGAAAATTATGGCCTACAGCCAAGAAGTAAATCAGTCTATAGAAATAATAAATTGGCCAGGCGCAGTGGCTCACACCTGTAATCCCAGCACTTTGGGAGGCTGAGGCAGGCAGATCACGAGGTCAGGAGATTGAGACCATCCTGGCTAACATGGTGAAACCCCACCTCTACTAAAAAAATACAAAAAATTAGCTGGGCAAGGTGGCGGGCGCCTGTAGTCCCAGCTACTGGGGAGGCTGAGGCAGGAGAACGGCGTGAACCCGGGAGGCGGAGCTTGCAGTGAGTGGAGATTGCGCCCCTGCACTCCAGCCTAGGTGATACAGCGAGACTCCATCTCAAAAAAATAATAATAAATAAAAATTTTAAAAAAGAAACAATAAATTTAAACAATAACTTTATAAATTAATTCAATGCAGAAGGGTTAATGAACAGGAATTCAGGAGAATAGATAAGACAGGAGTGAGAAGGCAGAAAGAGGCCAAGGAATAAAGAATAGAGTGAAAGTCTAATAAAATTGACTTTTTAGAATGTTTTTAGAAGAGGTAAGTTCTAATATTTTCTTTTAAATTGTCTGCTGAAGAGTTGTTGATCCTCCTCCTTACCCCTCCAGTCTTCATTAAGAGTCTATTTGAAAGAGCTGACTCATATTTGGGGTTATGCGTTAAGAGCTAAGAAGAAGGGGCTCTGTCCTTAAAGAGAAGAATAAAGTGCTACACAATGTTGACTGGAGAATGAGAATTCATCTGAGGCTGAAAATTAGATCAAGAGATGGCTGAAAGACAAGTAAGCCCCTGGGACTTCATAGCCATCTTGGAGAAGCATAAGAATGCCCAGAAGTATGGAAGGGTGGGGGGGGCGGGGTTCCAGCTGATTTTACCTGAAGGGACAGGGTGACCCATCTGACTTATTTTTATTATATGTGTCTGAGTGAATTAATTTACAGTGAGGAACATAAAACTCTCTGACAGGTTCTTGACCTGCATATCTTCTCCCTGGGTGCAGATCTACTCACGAAGCAAAATGCTGCTTGGCAAGTCTGGAAAGGAACTAAGGGAGAAAAAAAAGGATATGCTAAATTACCAGAGTCATCAAGATGGGATGAGCTGATACAGCTGTGGCCACATCTGGGCCATTTTACAATAGTAATGGATGAGGCTATGGGGAGATCAAGGTCACAAAGCAATGATGTGAGAGGGCTGGAATTTGAGCTCAGGCATATCTGAGTCCTACGCTCACCCTCTGTCCCCTCCATCACAGGGGATCTTTCAGAGTGCCTCTCCCCTAGACTGTATAGATGGCCCACGTCTGCTTCCAATTATTGTCTGAGATAAGAAAGATACCACCCTGGAATGACGTCTCAGTCAATCCATACTGAAGCTCCTTGACAGGCCCAGGGGCCTCCTCTGGCACAGAAAGACCTTATGTCTAACTTATGCCTGCGTTTTGCTATTTGCTTTCCATGTGTCTCATGTCCTTTTTGTTCGTCTATCCCACCTTCTTTTCTTTAAGTGGATATTTTCTAGCATACCATAGTAATCCCTTTGTTGATTTTTAACTATATTTAGAGTTATTTTCTTAGTGATTGCTCTAGGAATTATAATGGGTACTTTATCACAATCTACCTCAGATTAACACTAAATTAATTCCAGCATAGAATTAAGAATAGAGAAACTTTGCTCCAATATAGCTTTATTCCCTACCCCCTCCTTTACCCTTCCTTTAGCAAAAGTGTATGAGACATGCATCATTGGGAGACTTCTGGGAAAATGACAAACTATTTGTAGTTTAATTACAAATACCATATTAGTGATCTGACTACATATTATTCATACAAAGTCATGATAAATCAAGTACAAAGGTCATGACAAACACAGTTTTTACTGATTTCTGTGCCTAAAGCTTTATATTCCCACAATATGCTGTGTAAGAAAAAAATAACAGCTATGTGTGTAATCCCAGGGGAAGAGGGTGGAAACTTCAGCCATCTACAGTACCTCAAAGCAGTTGTGCAGGGCTGGAATATATTAGATGTTCCGTAGCTCCTGGAATAACCCTTGATGCAGAGCTCATGGGTCACTAAGTAATGCGACGGTCTTCAGTTGAAATGAGACTTAATAACTCTTGAATGGCGCTTTGCTCATGGACATCAAGCTGTTGTTCTTTGGCTAGACTGAGGGCCCTCATGCCATATTCCTGTGCCTGAAATAGAATTGTAGTGACAAAAGGAAGTCATCACAGGAAAGCATAACACTGGGAAGCCCCATCTGTGCTCAACTCCAGAAACATGAGAGAGAACTCATCACCTTTTCACACCACCCACTGCGCTCTTGTTGATAAACCTGTAAACACACTGGGCCCTTACAGCTAGCCACATGTGCACTGGGCGGGGAAGCAGGGCACCAGAAAAAAATCCCACCTGACTTGACAAACTAAGCACAAACTAAGTATACCTTCTTAACAAAGTGAGATCTTTGTAGGACTTTACTCAGGCCCTAGAGGCCATCACTGGAAGGCATAGAGGTGACAGGTGCCACAAGTAAATTACCACCCTGGGGTGGTCCTGGGGGCCATGTGGCCCAGAGTTTTGACTTGGTAAGAAGCTCTTCTTTCTTCCTCCCTTCTTCTCTTTCTTCCTTCCTTCCTTCCTTCCTATAAATAGTTATTGAATGGTTGCTATGTTCCAGGTCCTGTGAGTATAGGCAGAAATTCCTATTCTCATGGAACTTACAGTGAAGTAGAGGAGAAAGACAATAAAGAAGACAATTAAGTAAAACACGATAGTCTCTTAAATAGGGATAAATGCTAAGGAAAAAAATAAAGCATGAAAGGGGATAGGAAGCATTAGAGGTAGTAGTGGGGGGTTGCAGTTTTAGACAGGGAGAGCAGGGAACGCTTCACTGAAAAGAAAACAGCTGAGTCAAGTGACGGCTTGAAGGAAGTGAGGTGCCAGTCTTGATGGATAGATAGATGTGTGCCTTTTGTCTAAGGCCTCTTGTAGATCTAACACACCCTGGGGTAACGACTTCCTTGAGTATACAGTGGAAAACTGGACATTGCACTGTAGAAAAGAGGTTTTGTCCAATGTAAATTTGAAAGTTCAGTGGAAATATTTTCCTATTTCTCACCCATTCCTACTCCTATCCCAGAGAGGGTTAGTGCCTTTCCTCTGTGCTCCTACAGTGCTCTGGGCTTCACTCTCACACTCTATTATAACCTGTGAGCTCCTCCAGGCCTGGTATACTGCAGGTGCTTAGTAAAAGTTAGCTGAAGTAACAAAAGAAGACAGGGAGGAGGGAGGAAAGGAGTCTTAAATTTTCCCATGTCACCCACACAAAAAGGCCTCCCTCCAACCAGCCTCCTCTCTCTCCCCTGCCTACTGCTTTTTCTTCTTCTAATTTTTTTTTTTTTTTTTTGAGACAGGATCCTGCTCTGTCATCCAGGCTGGAGTGCAGTGGCACAAGCACGGCTCACTGCAGCCCCAATCTCCTGGGCTCAAGTAATTCTCTCATCTCAGCCTCCCAGGTAGCTGGGACTACAGGTGCACACCTCTATGCCCGGCTGATTTTTTTTTTTTTTTTAAATTTTTAGTAGAGAGTGAGTCTCACTATGTTGCCCAGGCTGGTCTTGAACTCCTGGACATAAGCAATCATCCTGGCTTGGCCTCCAGAAGTACTGGGATTACAGGCATGAGACACTGTGCCTGGCCTAGTTTTCTTTATAGCAGTTCCTACTATCTGAAATTATATTAGACATACATATGTTTATTTCCACTCCTCCAAAAAACACCAGTGCCATGGAGATAAGAAACATATGGATCACCACTGTATCCCCAGTCCCAAGAATAGTGCTTTGCAAATGGTAGGTTTTCAATAAATGTTTGAATGAATGAGATAATCAAACAATAAATCAATAAACCTGAGATACGCCACTTACTGTCTTTAAGACATTGGGCAAAGAATTGACCCTCTCAGTGCCTCAGTTTCCTTGTTTGTAAAGTAGAGATAATAAAATACCTACCTTACCAATGTTGGTGTAAGCATTAAGTATGATAATTAAGTAAAGGGTTTAGGCCAACAACTAGTATGTAAAAGTACTCAAAAACAGTTACTTTTTGAATCATTTCATGGCAATGCATTTCTGTCTGAATCCGCGTAGCAACGGGGAACTCAGTAACCCAGTGGAGTTAGAGCTGCTACTTCATCCCTCCGAGCCTCCCCAGAGCCCTCCTGCCCCGCAGGCTTCCCAGCACTGCCCCAGACTCCCTTTGTCTATGCAAGCCTGGGAACCCTCGGGGGAAGAAGACAATCCAGCTTCCGTTATGCAGGCTGGACTCAACACAGGAGAAACGTGAGCATCTGAACGTCCTTGGAGTGAGGGCTTGCCCTGAGGGCAAAAGCTATTGGAATTGGGCAAAACACAAATGAGTTCAACTAGATGAATTTCTACCTTCATTTTAGATGTGTTGCTTTTTTAGGGAAACTTGCCTTTGAAGAATTCATCATCAGGTAGTAAAGCATGACCAGGATCTTCAGAACAAAGATAGTTTTTTGAGGGGCTTTGTCAGATGTAGATTCTCGAATGTTCAAGATTGAAGTCAGGATGCGAATGGCTTCTGCTTCTTGAGCTTCATCTGCGTTGGAAGCGGAAGAAAGAAAAAACAGGCTCTTGGCAACTGAGTCTGCCCTCATCAAAAACACTCAGCTGTTAAAGGGCCTGGTCTGCTGAAGCCTTCCCAGGGGCACTGGTGGAAATAGCACCAATTACAGCAAGTTTTTTACCTAGAGGACTCCCTCCACGTGCGTGGAAGCAGGAGTTTCAGTCCACTTTCCAGCTTTGCTTAGCATGTCATCATCAGAGTAGCCTAAAAATATGCTCACTCCCACAGGTCCCAAAGTTGCTAAGGTTTCCCTCTTTCGGAGTCCTGAACTCTAGATCTCTTGGGCTTGCAAACACAGAGAATTTGTCACAGGCAGATGCCTTGGGTCCAATTTAGCTTCCACTCTACAGCTGAGAGGAAAGAACTGGGGGAAGGGACTTCTTGCAGCTGTAGCAGCTTAACTCTTCTCGTCTAGGCCAAAGATGCATAAGCAACAACCTTCATGCTTCCCTCTGGGAGTCTGTTAACTATTTTCCCCAGTAGTTTTTGGTCCTACTTTAGTCATCATTTACTGAGAAGTTACTACATGCACTTAAAAGCACTTATACAAGTACTAAGCTTAGAGAAAAAGATGAAAAGGATATACACCATCATGTTAAGGTTGGCTATCTTTGGATATCTATGATTTCCAAGTTTTCAGCTGTAACATGAACTATTTACATAATTCGAGAAAATTCAATACAGTTATTAATTTTTTAAACTTTAGCTCAAAACCTCTCCTCCAAAGAGTCTTCCTTCTTCAACACCACCCAGCTGTCCTCACCTCTTCATTCTGGGACTCATCTTGTAATATAATTTGTACTCACAGGAATGTTCTTTTGTTACTGCCTATAGATTCTAACTGCACTGTATGTCTCTTTTGAGCAGAAACTGGATCTTCTGTGTCTTTTGTCTCTGACAGCATGATGCTGTATGGTACTATTCAACATTTAGCCCCTTGCTGCGCTGGGGAATACAGTCTAATCCAGTTGGGCCCTGCCACTGAGCAGCTCACTGTTCAGTAAAGCATGAAGCTAAGGCACCAGAAGAAATCAGCAATGCAACTTCTGTGTAGAGTCTACTTTGGCTCACGTGTCCTGGAGCAAGAGGCCCCAATCCCCAGGCCATGGACCAGTACTGTTTTGTGGCCTGTTAGGAATCGGGCTGCGCAGCAGGAGGTGAGCAGGGGTGGTGGGGGTGAGCAAAGCTTCATCTGTATTTACAGCCACTCCCCATTGCTTGCATTACCATCTGAGCTCCACCTCCTGTCAGTTCAGCGGCAGCATCAGATTCTCTCAGGAGCGCGAACCCTAGTGTGAACTGTGCATGCAAAGGATCTAGGTCGTGCACTCCGTATGATAATCTAATGCCTGATGATCTGTCACTGTCACCCATCACTCCCAGATGGGACCATCTAGTTGTAGGAAAACAAGCTCAGGGATCCCACTGATTCTACATTATGATGCAAGGTATAATTATTTCATTATATATTACAATACATTAATAATAATAAAAACATAGTGCACAATAAATGTAATGCACTTGAATTCTCCTGAAACCATTCCTCCCCTACCCCCCAGTCCATGGAAAACTTGTCTTCCATGAAACAGGTCCCTGGTGCCAGAAAGATTGGGACTGCTGCCCTGGAGGGATAACATAAGAAATGGATGCTCTGCAGAAGTCACAGGGGGTTTTGATGGGGTCTTTTTTTCCTCTAAATCTGTCCCTTAGTAACCCCCGAATGGCTATGTGTGATGACAGGGATCTGAATTCTTCCCAACACTGGTAAAATCTCTTTGATCCCCGTGTCTCAGTTTTCTCCATCAGCAACATGGGGAAGGTGGCAATGGTGTGCTTCATGACAGGGACAGCTGCTTTCCCTCTTAGGGACGAGGTCTGTGTATTGGGTGAGATGAAGTCACTGCTCTGCCTTCAGGGAAAACTGCCACTTACCCAAGCCAGTGTCATTCTCAAATAGTTTGCCCAGTAAATCCACTTGTTGGGTGTGAGCCTGTGAGAGGACTTGATAGTGATTGTTCAAATATGCGTGCCAGATCTCAGAGACCTGTTGGGAAAAGAGAAGGTAATACAAAAAGCAGGCCAGATCTCAGCCTTCGGACCAGGCAGGTGAGGAGAATAGCGCATTTGGCCTGGCTTCTGGACAACCTGGAGGTTCTCTCTTGTACTGTACCTGGAGGCAGAGGGAGCCCTAGAAGCCCAAACAGGCCTGACCAAGGTAAGTGTGACAAGTGATGCAAACGGCCTGTGGCAGCTCATCTTGGGGTAGCCCTAGTGGGGTCTTATCTTTTGTGCAGCACATACAACACGAAACCTTCACATCCTCATAACATCCCAATGTAATATTCTTATTATTAATATTAAGAATATTCTTATTCTTATTCTTCCCATTTTACATGTAAATAAACTGAGGCTCAGAGAAGTTCAGATCACACATGACTTCTGGTAAGAACTGTTAAGTGGCATAGCCAGAATTTAATCCCTGGTCTATCTGATTCTAAAGCTTTTAAGCTACAGCAAAATGCCTCTTTTTCAGAAGCAGGTCTAAAACATGAATCAACAATCAGCAGAAAGTTTGTATTACACATTTATTACACAAATGATTGCCTGCTAAGCGAGGTGTTACTATGTGGATACAAATGACATTTTAATATATTCGAAACAGTATGAAATCTTTTCTATGTAAATACGGAAATTTCTCATGTTCTTGGATCCCTTGACAGGATCTTGTAGCAATAGATTTCCCTTGGAAACCTCTTCTTCTCTAATGCACACTTCAATATACCCACATTAGCTTGCTGCTATGGGTATGACACAGCATATAACAGTCTATTTGAAGGGTTTGGCTCTTACTGACCTATCCTTCATTATTCATTAATCACCCTATGGATGTTAAGGGTTAGTCTATTTTGGTAGTGCGGACACGGGAAGAAAGAAAATGGAGTATATCATGTATCAGGCTATATAATCTTGCAAGCCACTTCATCTCTTTGTGCCTCTCTTTCTCATGAATGGTATGTTTTTCGTGAATAGTCTAATACAAGTTGTAAGACACCAAGCCTAAGAGTGAAGGCTCAACTCCCACATTCCCCAGCTCACCTTGGTGTACAATGTGTCTGCCAGGTCCAACTTTTTAAGGTCATAGAATATATTAGCCAGGTGGAAGTAGCCTCCTGAAGTCCTAATGTCCTCTGTTCCAAATGCACAACTGGCAAAATAAATCTACAGCAGGAGGAAGAAGGAGAGTGCTTGAGTTCTTTTTGCAAATCATATATCTGATAAAGGACTTGTATCTAGAATACATATAAAAAACTGTTACAACATTCCAATTTAAAAATGGGCAAAAGATCTGAATTGACATTTCTCCAAAAAGATATTCAGATGAAAAATAAGCACATGAATAGATGCTAACATAGTTAGTAATTAGGTAGATGCAAAACAAAGCCATAATGAGATATCACTGCATCTAGGATGGCTAGAATCAAATGCAGAAAATAAAAAGTGTTGGGAAGGATATGGAGAAAATGAAACCCTCACACATTGCCAGTGGGAATGTAAAAGGGTGCAGCCTCTGTGGAAACAGTTTGGTAGTTCCTAAAAAAATTAAACATAGAGTTACTACATGACCCAGCAATTCCTCTTCTAAGTACCTACCCAAGGGAAATGGAAACGAATGTCCACACAGACTTGTATATAAATGTTTATATCAGCATTATTTAAAATACACAAAATATAGAAACAACCAAAACATCCATCAACTGATGAATGGACAGACAAACTGTGGTATATTTAGGAATGGAATGCTAATCAGCAATAAGAGGAATGAACTATTGATATATGCAACGACATGGATGAATCTCAAAATAATCATGCTAGGTGAGAGAGGTCAGAGGCAAAGGACCACTCATGATTCTGTCTGTTCGAACTGTCCTGAGAAGGCAAATCTGTAGAACCAGGAAGTGGTTGCCTGGGGCTGGAGCAGGAATGGGAAATGACTGCAAATGGATACATGGGATCTCTTTGGGGTAATGGAAATGTTCTGAAACTTGATTGCGCTGATGGTTGCACTACTCTGTAAATTTGCTAAAAATAATTTAATTGTACACATAAAATGGGTGAATTTTATGGTATATATCAATAAAGGGGTGTGTGTGTGTGTGTGTGTGTGTGTGTGTGTGTGTGTGTGTGTTTAAAAAGCTAGGCTACGGAATCTGAGGTTGTGCTAATTCTTTTTTTTTTTTTTTTAAGACAGAGTCTCCCTCTGTTGCCCAGGTTGGGGTGCAGTGGTGTGATCTTGGCTCAGCGCAACCTCGTCTCCCAGGTTCAAGCGATTCTTCTGCCTCAGCCTCCCGAGCAGCTGGGACTACAGGCACATACCACCTCAGCCTCCCGAGCAGCAGGGACTACAGGCACACACCACCACACCTGGCTAATTTTTGTTGTTTTTTTTTTTTTGAAGACTGAGTGCAATCCCGGCTTACTGCAACTTTTGCCTCCCAGGTTCAAGCAATTCTCCTGCCTCAGCCTCCCGAGTAGCTGGAATTACAGGCACATGCCTCCACACCCAGAGAATTTTGTATATTCAGCAGAGACGGGGTTTCACCATGTTAGTCAGGCTGATCTCAAATTCCCGACCTCTGGTGATCTGCCCACCTTGGCCTCCCAAAGTGCTGGGATTACAGGCATGAGCCACCATGCCCGGCCAGCAAAGCCCTTCTCTTAATGAGTGTGCTGTTTTGCCTCCCTTTACTCTTCAGGGCAACTGAAACTTCAGGAATATGTGACCTGGCCAAGGTTGAATAGCTAGGAAGTAGAAATGCTTGATCTCAGGTTATTAGAATTGTGTTATGGCTAACATTCCACCGAATAATCAGTTGTAAACAGAAAGGTTTAGAGAAATGCACAGTTTTAAAAAAAATAAAACAGACTTTGGAAATATACAGGTGTTATAATTTAGATTTTGGAAATATCCAGGTGTTATAACTTAGCTTGTTTACATCATTGGCCAGATGATAACGGGCTTCTTCATAGTTTTTCTTAGCTATATAGAGAAGTCCCAGGTTCCGATGCAGTAAAGAGTGGGTGGCATTACTACAGTCAGTTGATTTGAGGACTGTCCACTGGGCTTGGAATAGATATTCTTCAGCCTGAACGATTCGGCCCAGACCTGCCCAAAAGCAGAAAAGAAGGTTATAATTCATATCCGGGTCAAAGAACACAAGAGGAAATATGAGTCATTACCCATTCACTCATGTATTCATTGACTCAAGTATTTATTGACACACAAAAACTCTCACAGGAATGTTCATAGCAGCTTATTTGGAAGAGTCAAAAAAAACCCAGAAACAATGTAAATGTCCATCAGCTGATGAGTGGATGAACAAAAGGAGGCATCTCCATCTCCATCTCCATCTCCATGAGTGGAATATTAGTCATAAGAAGGAATGAAGTAGTGATGCCTGCTATAATGTGGGTGAACTTTGAAAACACTACACTAAGTGAAAGAAACCAGACACCAAAGGCCACATATTATGTGATTCCATTTATATGAAATGTCCAGAACAGGCAAATCCATAGAGACGGAAAGTAGACTAGTGGTGGCCAAGCAACCACAGGGGGTCCAATGCAAGGGAGGCACTAAGAGGGAGTAACTGCTGACAATTGCAGGCTTTCTTTCAGGAGTGATGAAAATGTTGTGGAATTAGATCATGGTGACTGTTGCACAACCTACAGAATGTGCTAAAACCACTGGATTGTCTATTTATTTATTTATTTATTTATTTATTTATTGACAGAGTCTCACTTTGTTACCCAGACCGGAGTGTAGTGGCACGATCTCGGCTCACTACAACCTCTGCCTCTAGGGTTCAAGTGATTCTTATGCCTCAGCCTCCCAAGTAGCTGGGACTGCAGGCATGCACCACCACGCTAGGCTAATTTTTGTATTTTTAGTAGAGACAGCGTTTCACCATGTTTGCCAGGCTGGTCTCAAACCCCTGACATCAGGTGATCCACCCGCCTTGACCTCCCAAAGTGCTGGGAACATAGGTGTGAGACACTGCGTCTGGCCTGAATTGTTCTTTAAAAGAGTGAATTTTATGATATGTGAATTATATCTCAATTGTGAAATATATATATGCATATTTAATACCCTTTATGTGCCAGGCCTTGTGTTGAGTGATGGAGATTCAACGTGCAACATGAAAACAAATATATTTACAATATAGTATAATTGCAGTAGAAACACAAGCTTTGGAAGTGTCAGAGGATAGGAAATGTTTAATTCTACAGATGAGATGAGAGTGACACTGAAGCAGAGTCTGAGCTGGGTTTTGAGGATGAAAAGAAGTTTTCCAGGTAGATAAGGCAGGGAGAGCATCCCAGGCAGAAGTAACAGCATGTGCAATGTCACAGAAATATGAAATAATATGTTATGTTCATAGAACTATACAGAGTCATAGCTGCAGGGATTTGGTTCCAGAACCCCCATCAGATACCTAAATATAAGGATGCTCAAGGCTCTAATATAAAGTAGTGCAGTATTTGCACATAACCTATGCACATCATTCCTCATACTTTAAATCATCTCTAAATTACTTACAATACCTAATACAATGTAAATGCTATGTAAATAGTTGTTCTACTATATCATTTGTCTTTTTTAAGTTTAAATTTTTTCTTTTTTTGTTTATAAGCCCACAAGTAACATCATGTATTGTTTTTATTTGTATCATTTTTAATCATTGTGTTATTTTTAAAAATACTTTTGATCCATGGTTGCTTGAATGGGCAGATGCAGAAACTGCAAATATGGAGGGCCAACTGTATTGGCCTGTGATGCTGGAGCACAAATTGTGAAGGACAGAGTGGCAGAAAATGAGGCTACGGTGGTAGGCAGGGGGCAAGTCATGGAGGGCTTAGTGAGTTATGCCAAGGAACTTGATGCATGTGGATAAAAACTAGAGGATTTTCAAAAAGGGCGAGAGAATCGGATTTAAATTTAGAAAGTTCCTCTGGAACCAATGTGGAGGAGGGATCAGAAGGGAGGAATAAAGGTAGAAGATTCACTGGAAGATGTCTGAAACAGTTTGGGCAAGCACGCTTAAGAGCCTGAAACAAGACAGTGAACGAAGTAGGAGGCAATCCAAAAGAGACAGGAAGTAGAATGGACAACACACGGTTACTAAGTAATGTGGAAGGTAAGAGAAAGGAAAGCCACCTTTATTGCTAATATTCAGATACTCTTGACACTTAAAGCTTTTTGTTTATTACCTATCATCTTTACACATACAGAGGCCTGCCTACCTGCTTGGCTCCTAGGGAAATGTGTCGGAACTGAATAGAAAGCCACTACGTCAGCATGCTGCAGGGCAGGAGGTGTGCTCTGGGGGTGAAGCATTGGTGTGACAGCTGCTGCAGCAGAAACCACACCAATGAAGGGTCAGGAGATAAGGACACGAACCCCTCATAAGCCAACCCTCTTCTCCTCTGTGTCCTTCCTGTCAGGCCTAGTTCATATGTAAGCATGCTTTTATTCTAGTTGTAACCCTACATCACTGAATAAAAGGAAAAGAGATGAAGAGGAAGCAGTCTACAAGGAGAACTAAGTAACTTTACCTGATGGAAGGTCAAAGGGCAAACTAAAATGGGAAACTACTAGATTAGGAGCACGAGGCCTAGTCCCTGATCCTGGCTCATGTGAACATGGCTAGTCACATCTTCCCTCCAGGCTTTGTCTATAAAATATGAGGTTTAGACTGAAGTCCTCTCAAATTTGAAGAAGCAAATGACTCTTAACTAAGATTGTTTAGATGGGAAAAAAAAGGGTACAGGGCATTGATAGATATTGGAAATTTAAAATTTTCAACATCCAGTTCTCACTCAAGAAGGCAATGCCAAAGAAGGAAGACTCCAAGGCCCAGCTGAACCAGCAGCTAAACAAGCATCAGTCCTAAAGGAAAAGGCATACTTGGGAGAATAAACTGTGAGGCTAGAGAGAGACAGTAAGGTGAGAAGAATGGGCTGCTACTAGCCCATGAGATTACAGTCAGAACTAAGCTTGTGACCAGTGAGTGTGTAAGTTCAGGCCTGCCTCTTATGGACAATGTCTGCCTGGAGAGGCATAGGGTGAAGTGGAGGTGGTGAAGACATAAAGGAAGTGATACTATCCCTTAGGGTGATTTTAATAGTTCATGGAATTGAGAAAGGACAGCCACTTACAGACCAGTGGTACTTGTCTGAAGGGTGAGGCCACAGGTTTACACTGGGTTAATGGCAGATCTGGGACATATTATGGGGGAAGATTTTGCAGGACTTGGTGATGAAAGTGAAGGAATGCAGCATACAGCGGTCACAGCTGAGTCAAAGGCTGTGGCTGTGAGGTGCCCAGGGGAAGAAAAGGGAATCTGCATTTATTGAAGACCTGTTATTTGCCCGACATTGTGCTAGTCCCTTTGCACCTGTGGTCTAAGTCTGCCAACAGCCCTGTGAAATAATTATCAGATGAGGAATTCAAAGAGGAGGCAACTTCATTCATTCATTCAACCAACCATATATTCACCTAATTGACTGATTATCACAATGCGTGACACTCAATGCACACTGAGACATGATCCCTGACTCCAAGAAGCTTAAAATCAAGTGAAGTAGGCATACAATAAATAGACAAAACATGAGTGCTGTGAAGGAAATGAACAGAACACAGTAACCAAAATCCTAGCTCACTGCAGCCTCCACCTCCTGGGCTCAAGCAATCCTCCCACCTCAGCCTCCCAAATAGCTGGGACTACTACAAGTGCATGCCACCATGCCCACCTCTTTTTTTTTTTTTTTTTTTTTTTTTTTAGAGATGAGGTCTTGCTACGTTGCCCAGGCTGATCTTGAATGCCTGGGCTCAAGAGATCCTCCCATTTTGACCTCCCGAAGTGCTGAAAATACAGGTGTGAGTCACCACACCTGGCCAGTTTAAGCAGACACCTGAAGGACGATCAAAAGCCAGCCATGTATGAGAAAGGAAAGAGCATCCCAGGCAGAAGGAGATATATGTGAAAGCTCTGAGTGAGGAAGAGCTTGGTGCCTACGATCACCCAGCCAGTAAAGAAAGAGCTGATATTTGAACCCAGGCTCTCCTGCTTCCAAAGCGCTGATAACAGTGGGAGAAGATGAGTAGGTGGCTCCTCCTTGAAGTGTTACTGAAAATGTCATTTCTAGTTGATTAAAATTTCAAAGTTTTACTAAAAAGGAAAAATAAAGCTGAATATCTGTTATCTGTCCACTCCAGTCTGAAGGAATCTCTAAGATGGGAAAGAAACATGTACACAGGAAAGTGATTTCTTTAGACTTCCAAAAAGGTTAGCAAGGTTTTAAACCAATGGCTGTGGAGTTACAGTGAAATCTTCCATTTAGACAGCACTTTCCAGACTTTAAAGCACTTTCATGGTCATTACACTTGAACTCATTTCGTCCTTAAAATAATCCTGTTAAGAGAACTCAGATTCAACACATACTTACACAGTGCTCACCAGGTTTCAGGTACTGTGAAATTATTTTTTTAGTACCTTCTCTGTGCTAAGTACTGGGCTGAGCATGAAGACATCCGTGATGAGTAAGAACAGACACAGATCCAGTTCTCCCTGAGCTTACAGTCTACTGGAGCAGGGAGACAATTAAATAATCTCATCAATGAATACAATTATTAATGGAGTAAGTGCTCAGAAGAAAGGAGTAGGTCTTTAAATGAGTATATTAAAAAAGAGACCCAGCTGGGTGCGGTGGGTCACACCTGTAATCCCAGCACTTTGGGAGGCTGAGGTGGGTGGATCATTTGAAGTCAGGAGTTCAAGACCAGCCTGGGCAACATAGTGAAACCCTATCTCTACTAAAAATACAAAAAATAGCTGGGCATGGTGGCGTGTGCCTGTAGTCCCAGCTACTCAGGAGGCTGAGGCGGGAGAATCACTTGCTCCTGGGAGGCAGAGGTTACAGTGAGCAAGTCAGGCCATTGTACTCCAGCCTGTACAACAGACTGGGACTCTGTCTTAAAAAAAAAAAAAAAAAGGGAGACCCAACCTGGTCTGGAGCCCTGGGAAAGCTTCTAGATAAGGCGGTAGTCACCCTTGAGCTGAAACCTGAAAGATATGAGGAGTTAATTCGGTGAAGGGAAGAGGAGAAGAAGCAGAGAGAGTGGCTACAGAAAAGCCTTTCCGAACAAAGAAATCATCATGCTTCTGAGGAACTGAGAGAAGGCTGGTCAGTGTAACCGGAAAGGAGGGAGAAAAGAATCCAAGAGAGACAAGGTGATAGAATTGAGGTGGGAGAACCTGCTAAGGGCTAGATCAAGCACAGCCTCATGGGTTGCTTTAGAAATATGATCTTTAGGCTGGGCACGGTGGCTCAAGCCTGTAATCCCAGCACTTTGGGAGTCCGAGACGGGCGAATCACGAGGTCAGGAGATCGAGACCATCCTGGCTAACACGGTGAAACCCCGTCTCTACTAAAAAATACAAAAAACTAGCCGGGCGAGGTGGCAGGCGTCTGTAGTCCCAGCTACTCGGGAGGCTGAGGCAGGAGAATGGCATAAACCCGGGAGGCGGAGCTTGCAGTGAGCTGAGATCCAGCCACTGCACTCCAGCCTGGGCAACAGAGCGAGACTCCGTCTCAAAAAAAAAGAAATATGATCTTTATTCAGAGGAGTGATGGGTCACATTTCTGTATGCAAACAAGATTGGAGGGAGGCCAGAGAAGATGTGGGGAGACTAGTTAGTAGGCAGTAGTCTAGATGAGAGATGATGAGACTTGGGCTAGGGTGAGTTTTCCAGAATCCCATAGCTAGCCAGTGTCACAGATAAACAGAACCTGGGCTGTATTTTCTTGTCCAGTGCTTTTCTCATTAGTTTGGAGGAAAGACAGTCTGGAATGCGGTGTCAGACCTGAGCAGGGTGAGCAGGGCATTCCTGCAGGCAAACAGCCTGGTATCGGGGGTCGGAACCCCCACAAATGAGAAGGGATCCACACAGCAGAGGCAGCCTGGAATGGGGAGTCAGAGCCCATGGAGGGGGAGAAGGTATCTGTAAGGTGGAAAGGATGGAGTTAGAGAGCAGGGATTTGTTCATACAGGGGAACTGATTAACATATAAATAAACTAATGAAAGTGAAAGCTGTCAGCAAAGAGAGTTGCAATTATGGAACGGGAGTAAATCAGATTGAACCCTGTGGTGCTGTATTAGATCTGGATCAAACAGTATAGACTAGTGGTCATACAGATATTGATGTAGATATATAGATATAGGCCGGACACGGTGGCTCACACCTGTAATCCCGGCACTTTGGGAAGCTGAGGCAGGTGGATCACTTGAGGCCAGGAGTTCAAGCTCAGCCTGGCCAACATGATGAAACCCCGTCTCTATTACAAATACAAAAATTAGCCAGGCATGGTGGTGTGCACCTGTAGTCCCAGCTACTTGGGAGGCTGAGGCAGAAGAACTGCTTGAACCAGGGAGGGGGAGGCTGCAGTGAGCTCAGATTGCACCACTGCACTCTAGCCTGGGTGACAGAGTGAGACTCAGTCCCCACCCCAAAAAAAAGATATATACATATAGAAATAAATACAGATGTAATGTGTGTATACATATACCCATTATTATATTTAAACTTACTCCCTAACTCCACTGAGAAGGCCTGGGAGCAGTAACACCCCAATGGCATGAGTACATCTAGTGCACAGCTTTTGGCTTCTGAATTTCACTTTCCACTGAAAGAAATCAGGGCTCTTTAGGGGTATGTTCCAGAAAGCAGGAAAGTAAGCAAAGAACAAATGGGGTTGTATCTAGGAGATGTAGAAGCCAGCTTGAGTGGGAGCTATCACTGGTCAAATCAGGGACGGTTTGAGCATCAAATTAATGATAGTAATGGATTTAAGCCCACTGAATAAAGAGGCAATACTGATATAAATAACTAAATAAATACGCTGAAAATTTGATGAGGAATGGAATATTTATATAGTTTCAAAGGACCTCTCCAAGAGATGAAAATTAAGGTTATTAATTACAGAAGGGGGAAAGAGTAACATTACAGGGAGGAAGCCTGGCAGACACCATCCTAATAGCGTAATTAAAATGAACATCATCAGTAATGAAAAAAAATGAAAACATGCCAATTTATAGAATGGGATGAGAACAGAGCATCACCTCTGTACTGTTTTTGCCAAAAATCCATAACCTGAAATAGGAAATATCATTAGGAAATATCAGACAAACCCAAACTGAGAGATGTTTTATACAATTGGCCTGTAACTTTTAAAAGTGTCAAGGTGGTAAAAGTCAATAAAAGGTTAAGAAACTATTCCAGAGTTTTGTTGCCAACACATGGCAACAAAATGAAAAGTGTGATCCTGAACTGTATCCTTTTGCTATAAAGATGTTATTGGGAAAATCTGAGAAACTTGCATAGGGTCTCTTAGATGACAGGGTCCCCTTGTGTGGTTCCCGCAAAGACATTTTCCTTCCTAACCACAATACAATCTATCTCATTTACTAAGGGGACACTGAAGTATTCTAATGATAGGGAACCAGGAAGGCAACTTACTCTCAGAGAACTTAGGGGATAAAACTTCTTTACACTGTACTTAATTTTAACAGTTTTACTTTTAAAAAAGTATTTTCTTAAATGGTGGCTATTAAAACGTATGAAGCATTTTTTAAACGGTAGCTATTAAAATATATGAAGTCGTAGCACAGTGCCTAAAACACCGCATTGCTCAAAATATCAATTCCTCTCAAAATGCCAGTTTTCCTTTTGTAGTAGCCACCACGTAGGGTGTCTGCTAAGTCTGCTCCATACTTTCAGAATTGCCTCTCCCATCTATAGGGGTAGGTTCCTGTATTTCTGAACTATGTGACTCTGATCCCAGGGAACAAAGGTGGATCCCACACTCAAGCTATGTCAACAAAATTCTGTCTTCTACGAATTTGTAATTGGAAATCAGAAGCTAATTAGTTTCTACTGCCTACCTTGAACCGAGAAAACATGTAAATTGAAAAACGCCATCTGACATTTTGGGGTAGCTGTCTTCTACAGTGAGCATAGAGTAGACAAATCTGGTCTGCAGAGAGGGAAAATAGCAAAGCAGACACCCAGAGAGAAGTAGAGACAGGAGACAAGGCCCAAGAGAGAGAACGAAAGACACCAGCCTTGGTTCCTTACAGCATTCCAATTCTAGTCCCTCATGAAGCCTCAGCTCCCGTAGGATACTACAGTACCCTCACAAAGTTCTTCCTTTTTGTGCAGGCCAGCTTGAGTGGATTTCTGCCAGTTGTAGACAAAAGTCTGTGACATCTCCTTCCCTACCTTATGCTAAACTTTTACAGCAACCCTGCTCCTTCTACAATAGGTGTCTTAGTGCCACTGTCAAGGGTGACTCTTTGATCATTGGTGTGACCCAAACATAGCACCACTTAAGGGATCCAGGGATCTCAAGTCGGTTTCACTCACCAAGGCTGGCCTCGGCCAACAGCAGGTAAGCAGGCACAAGCTCTACAGAGCTCAGGCCGTACAGGTTCACGCGGAAGCGAAGGGAATGCAAAGCTGCTGGTACAGCATCTTCATGTTTCCCTTCAAAGAGGTATTTCTGGGCTACGGTGTAGCAGAATTCAATCAAATACTTCTGTGGAAGAGAGAAACAGACTATCTGAGACAGTCTAAAGTTAAAGGCAGAGGTGGATGTAGATGGCCCTGGGGATAAGGCCAACACCTAATGACCCAGTTAAGGGCACATAGTGAGCCTCCCTGTATTAGAGTGGATGTGAAGCCCCACATAAGTGATATAAGAAGGTAAACTCTGGACTATGAGTTCCTTAAGGCCCAGGAACATGTGTCTTTTCATCTTAGTTCAGTGCTTGGCATAGATGAACATTCAATATAGAGTTATCAGATGAATAAATGAGTATTATTCTTATAGTTCTAATAAAACTTTACTTTAGCAAAGCTAGCATGTCTCAGGATAATCGGAAACTTTCTGCCTTCATAGTTGAGTTAATTTTGAGAGAAACATCTCATTTTCCCTTCCAGAATTATCCTGTTTAGCTAACATCACAAAAAATTTTAACTCTGCATTGTTTTAAGGCCACTATCAAAGTGTCATAACACTAAAATGGATGGATCTTATGTCTAGGGATTTATGACTTATAATAAGGCGCTAATTTTTTAGAGTGATTGAGATGCTCAATACTCAGTAATACTCAACATTATACATAATAGTGGCAAGTTTTGCTAACCTCCTTTATTTATTCAGTAGTATATCCATACATCATTCTTAACCCTCCTATTACACGGCCAGGCTCTTGGCATCTGTGGATGTTATGGGCTCAACTGTGTCCCCCGCCAAAATTCATGTGTTGAAGCCCTAACCTGCAGTCTGTCACAATGTGACTATAATTGGAGCTAGGGCCTGTAGAAAGGTGATTAAGTTAGAATGAGGCCATTAGGGTAGGCCCTAATCTAATCTGACTTGTACCTTTATAAAAAGAGGAAATTGGACACACACAGAGATACCAGGGATGCTTGCACACAAAGGACCACGTGAAGATACCGCAGGAAGGCAGCCATCTGCAAGCCAGGAAGAGAGGCCTCAGAAGAAACCAAACCTGCTGACCCCTTGATCTTGGACTTCCCAGCCTCCAGAGCTGTGAGGAAATAAATGTATGTTGTTTGAGCCACCCAGTTTGTGGTATTTGGTTGTGCACTAGCAGACTAATACAGTGAGTATTTAGTAAATGTGGAAAACAACAGACTGAATGGTACTGAGGACTTAAAAAGATATAAAACAAAGTCTCTGCCCTCAGTGAAGTTACAATTTAGTGATCTCAACACAGTTCGACCCTTGTCTTGGGCAGCTTCACCGCACCTACGACTTAACCTTGGAAAGTGCTGTAGGCCCTACCTGCCGCTGCTGTAGCTGCTGCAGGCCATGCTGCCGTTCTTCCTCTGAATTGTAGAAGGGCATAGAAGTGCGCAGTGGAATCAAGAGCTGACATATTTTCTCATGGATGCTGTCCCAGTCAGCTTTCTGATGTACCACCCCACTGACAACAGAAACATAGACTTCATGATCTTTATATTTGGCATGACTTAAGATTCCATTAACCCTCCTACTGACCTATCCCTAGACACCAGAAAAGTAAGCCAAACACAAACCAGGCAGGGAGCTCAAAGCCATTTCTGAGACTCAAATCTCTTTTTTTTTCATGTGGTTATTTGATGGTGTATAAACTGTGTTGGGACTGGAGAGTATATTGTTTCTGCAGGCACACATTCACATTCTGAAGTCACACAGGGATACTGGCATGCAATTGCTCATAGTGTTCTCTTATAATCTCTCTTATTTCTGCAAGGTTGGTAGTAATGTCTTCACTTTCATTTCTGATTTTAGTAATCTGAATCTTCTTTTCTAGGCCAGTCAACCTAGCTAAAGGTTTGTCAATTTTGTTGGTCTTTTCAAGGAGCCAATTTTTGGTCTCATTGATTCTCTCTGTAGTTTCTTTATTCTCTGTTTTATCTCTGCTATAATCTTTAATTTTCCTTTCTTCTGCTAGCTTGTGTCTATACCCAACACAGGGCTGTCCATAAAGGAGTTTATAAATACGTTTTCATTTGCTCTTCTTTTTCTAGTTTCTTAAGATGAAATGCTAGGTTACTGATTTGAGATCTTCTTTTTAATGTAATGTATATTAGTATAAATTCATATGAGTACTAAATTCATACAGTACCCTCTGAGTACTGCTTTGCCAGCATCTAAGTTTTAGTATGTTGTTTTTGTTTTCATTTATCTCAAAGCATTTTCTAACTTCCCTTGTAATTTCTTCTGTGACTCATTGGTTAAGAGTATGTTATTTCTACATATTTGTAAATTTACCAATTTTCCTTGTTATTGACTACTAATTTCATTCCATGTAGGTGGAGAACATACTCTCTATGAAATCAATCCTTATAAATTTATTGAGATTTACTTTATGGTCTAACATTGGGTCTATCCTGAAGAATGTTCTATATGCACTACAGAAGAATAGGCATTCTGCTGTTATTGAATGGTGTTCCATAGATATGTTAGGTCTAGTTGGTTTATAGTATGGTTCAAGTCTTATATTTCCTTGCTAATCTGTCTAATTGTTCTATGCATTACTGAAAGTGGGATATTTGATCTCCTATCTAGTTGTTCTATTCATTACTAAGAGTGGGATATTGGATCTTTCATCTAGTTCTGTTCATCACTGAAGGTAGGATATTGAAGTCTCCAACTATTATTATTAAATTGTCTATTTTTCTCTCTAATTTTGTCTGTTTTTGCTTCATGTATTTTGAGGCTCTGTTGTTAGATGCATACAATTATGAGTTTTTGCATTTCTATTGCTTATTACACATTTTCACTTAAATGTGAGTTAACTGTTTGATTCCATTTATACGTATTTCAAAACAGGTAACAATAATCTAGAAGAGGGGTCAGAAAAGTTTTTCTGTAAAGGGTCAGATAAATATTTTAGGTTTGAGAGCTATAGGGTCTCTGTTGCAACTACTCAATTCTGCTGTTGTAGCACAAAAGCAGCCACAGACAATATACAGCCATGTTCAAGCACCTTCTTGGACAATATCGCCACCTTCTTGGACAACAGAAATGCAATTAAAGTATTTTCTTTATAAGTTGTGACTGCTACCAAAGAAATAACAGAAACCATTTAAAAATGTTTTTGGGGAGGTAGAGAATTATTATAAACAGATCAATAAAAGCACTTAACCAGGATATAGCTGAGTTCCACAGGGAATTTATCAAGTGGGGCTTGTAAGCAATGGAAATGTTAACTTAGATGCCTGAACTTTTGTTCCACTGAGAGCAACTGACATATTTTGCCTTTCTAAACAAAGTGAGCTTTATTTATATATTTGCGGGCTCCCTGCTTATTGATCTGTCCCACTCGTAACACAGGGTCAGGGATAAAGTAGGAATGGATAAATGCTTTCAATCGGGGCTCACAATTAAGTAGCTTGTGAGCCAGACATGTTTTATTTGGCTATTATCATGTTTTTTTAAGCTGAATTTGTATGTCTTTAGGCAGGGCATTCATTCTACAATTCACCACTGATCCTATAGCTTTCTATTATTGAATACCACTTCACTGTTTGTTTTGTTAGTAATCTGCAACATTTTTTGCAACAATTTTTCCTTTTGTTTGACATACGGAGCACAAACTTAAATGCCTTCACTGGCCAGGAGGAGAAAACAAACGGTGAAGTGGTATTCAAGAACAGGAAGCAACAGTATTTGTAGTGAATTACAGAATGTATGCCCTGACTAAAGACATTTAAATTCATGCAAACCTATGATACTGAAGTCTCTTTTACCTGTCACCAATGTTTTAGTATGTACTTCCATAAAATTACCTTTTCTTAAAAATGTTCTCATGTCCTGTAATCCCAGCATTTTGGGAGGCCGAGGAGGGCGGATCACAAGGTCAGGAATTCCAGACCAGCCTGACCAATATGGTGAAACACCATCTCTACTAAAAATACAAAAAAATTAGCCAGGCATGGTGGCGCATCCCTGTAATCCCAGCTACTTGGGAGGCTGAAGCAAGAGAATTGCTTGAACCTGGGAGTTGGAGGTTGCAGTGAGCTGAGATCGTGCCACTGCGCTGCAGCCTGGGCGACAGAGCAAGACTCTGTCACAAAAAAATAATAAAAAAATAAAAGTTCTACTGTGTCTCTAAGTAAATAAAAATGTGCTATTCTCTGAGAATGGTTGTAATCCACTATAGAGCAATATGCACAAGATTACACACAATATATAAAATAAATGTATTCAGAGAAAAGAAGGAAATTCATCAAAATTTCAGGTTATTAATCTCTGGGTTGTGGGATTATGGATTGTTTTTCTTCTTTATTTTTTATATTTTCAGGTTTTCTGCAGTGAGCATGAACTGCATTTATAATCAGGAAAAAAACTCTTTTACAGAAAAAAACTTTCACAAATTCAAACTGACTTTCTTGCTCCTTAAACTTGGGATGATGAAAAAGAACATTTACTGTGTGCCAATGTGGTTCCAGGCAGGGTACTAGGTGCTTTACATTCAACCATCAAAACCTACAGAACAACGACCTCAGTTTTGTTTTATCAAAAATCTTGAAAACTCCAAGACACACAGACATAGAAATCTGGAGAAAAGGAAGCAAAAAAACAAAAGGAGAAGGTCTTAAAGAGAATTAAAAGCAAGTAAAATAAGTAAAAGAAAAAAAATAGAAGGGCATAGAAGATGATAATTCATACATGCATTCATCAGATATTAGTGCCAACTATTTCTTTCTTTTTTTCATGTTTTTATTTTTTATTTTTTGGCCCAAGGAATAAAAGCACAAATGCCAACGATTTCAAGACACTTTGCTAGAGACTACAGGGCATACAATGACAGGTCAGACATAGATCAAAAGTTAGCATACTTGACAGTCCCTCTGTACACATTTAACGTAGTATCTAGCATTAATGGAGCATAACAAAATTGAAATAACACACTCACCAACAATTAAAATGAAGGGAAATATGAGATGAGTCATCTGAGAGATACAGAGTACTGTAAAGTCAGTTCAGAGGAAGAAGGAATTACTTCCGGCTGGAGGGATAAAGAGGACAGGGGTGTTTTAAGGAAAAAGTCAGTGCTCACACCAGGCAAAAGGGTTGAATCTTTCCCAAGCCTGAGTGGCAGGTTTTACTCACGGCTGTTTACTGGTCATCTCTCCAGGGGTGACCCAAAGGCCTCTCAAACTCTATGCCCACAACCAAATCTGACGCCCACCATCTTTTCCCCCTGTGTTCCTTGCCCAAGTTAATGGGTTTATTATCCATTTAGTTTTATTCAACAGATGTTCATTGAGTGTCTGGTATGTGTGGGCACTGGGCCTAGTAAAAGACATAGACATCAGATAAGCAAACACAAAAATATAAAAGTACAGAAAAAGCAAAGAAAAGTGGTACTGTGAGTGAGAAAAGTATGACAGCGAGTTGAGACTGGGTTTAGACCTCTTTGAAGAAACGACATTTAAACTGAGAACTGAAGGATGAAAGAGAGCCAGGAAGGCTTGTAGTTGAAGGGGAGGTTCCTAGCAGAGAGAACAGTCCGGGAAAAGAAACTGAGGGAAGAAAGGACTTAGCAAATTAGAACTTCAGTTCTCTATAACTACAGCAAAGAAAAAATGGGGTGAGTGCGGTGGGAAGTAAAGGTAGAGAAATAGCCAGGGCCTTGTATTTTCTGTTACAAATTCTGAATTATATTCTAAATGCAATGAAGCCACCAAAGAGGAGATAGCAATGAAAACACAGATGCCATCCCTACCCTTGTGGGGCATACGCCTAATGAAGGAAATAAATAAATGATTTCAGTCCATATTCTAAGTGTTAGGATAGGGAACATACTCAGTGCTTTCAGAGCACTGAGGAAGGACACCTAGGCCAGTATGAGAAGGTACTGCAACAGCTTCTTAATCTGTTATGCAGCCGGCAGTGTCTACCTTCCTCTGTATCTTCCACACTGCAGCCCATCCTCTTTCGTTAACACAAATGAGAGCATGTCAGCTCAAAACCATCCATGGTTTCCCAGGGGATAAATTCCAAACCCTTGATCTCATGTCACTGACTGGCCCTAACCTTTATCTTCTTGGTTTAAACTTCTACTACCTATCACAATGATATTCCAACTTTTTTTTTTTTTGAGACAGAGTTTCACTCTTGTTGCCCAAGCTGGAGTGCAATGGAGTGATCTTGGCTCACTGCAACCTCCGCCTCCCGGGTTCAAGCAATTCTCCTGCCTCAGCCTCCCGAGTAGCTGGGATTACAGGTGTGTGCCACCACACCTGGCTAATTTTGACTCAACCTATAGTAAGAAATACGTTTTCCCTGTACACACGCCCACATAAAACACTAAGACAAAAGTTTCAAGAAACAGTTCAGGTAGGATTAACCTGATACTTTCTACTCATTCTATGCTCTTCTTTGTTGTTGTTGTTTTCTCTAAATGGTGGTTGTGACTTATTCATAAACTGCTAAAGGGCCCTGGCCTGCAGTTTGAAAATCACTGACTGCTCCCTCCACTACTATGTTCTCCACTCAGCTGTTAGCAAACTCTCTTCTTTTGCCATTTGCCCTAGCAGTCCTGGATGCCGGGAATGCCCTATCCTTCTTCACTACTCCTTACACAGCAGGTTCTGACTGTCCTCTCAAAACGCAGCTCAAATGTTTCCTCCATAGAGAAAGCTTTCCACACACTGCCCCATTCACTATCGTCTCACTCTCGTCGCCCAGGCTGGAGTGCAGTGGCGATCTCCACTCACTGAGAACTCCGCCTCCCGGGTTCAAGCGATTCTTCCGCCTTAGCCTCCGGAGTAGCTGGGATTACAGGCGCCCAGCACCACTCCCAGCTAATTTTTGTATTTTTAGTAGAGACAGGGTTTCACCACGTTGGCCAGGCTGGTCTCGAACTTCTGACCTCAGGTGATCCACCCGCCTCGGCCTCCCAAAGTGCTGGGATTACAAGCGTGAGCCACCACGCCCGGCCTGTTTCTTTACTGATTTGTCTCCCACATTAGAATGTTAGATCTTTGAAGGAACTGATCTACCGAGCTACCAAAGTAACTTCAGCACCTAAAATAGTGCGTAACACATAGTAGGCCTTCAGAAAACATGAATGACGAATGAGTAAGTGGGAGATGAGGCAGACGAGGCCACGGGAGTCTTAGGGGCCTGTCTTAAAGCCCCTGTTTTTGAGGCATCCCTTGCAGAGTCAGGGGCCACGGCTAACGCAAGGTACCCAAGCCAGACCCGGGAATGGGAGAGAGGGAGGGAGTTAAAGCGCCCAGGTGCCACGTTTCAGGGCCTACCAGTAATAAGTGACTGTGCAGGCCGCGCACACCCGCTCAGCTGGGGCTTCGCACACCTCACAGCAGAGCCTGCGCCCCTTGGGGACCGCCAGTGGATAGATCACATTCATGTTGCAGCCAGAGATGCTGGTCTCTAAGACGGTTGCCCGGCGAGGATACGCTGAACCCCGGCGTCACGTGACAATCGCGGGCCCGCGTACTTGGCAGCATTTCGAGGGCAGAGGGCGGTGGGACGTGACTCGACTAACGTCTGGGTCTATCGCTGAAGTTGAAAAAGGGAAAGAAAGAAATAAAAAGAAGCACAAAATCCACAAGTCCTACGGGTCAAATGGCCGAGAAAGGACTCCCAAGGAGTCCAAGTCCATGAAGGCCCGTACAGTGGCCGGTAAGGGTCAAACATGGCCAGTTCTTCACCCAGGCTAGGAAACGAACGTGAAGGAGCGTGACCCTACCAGATGCCCACGCAGCCGGGGATCCCCCTCGTTGCAGTGTCACTTTCGCTGGGCTCTGGGGCAGAACAACTACGCATTTCCAGATTTGGCGAGATCGGGACCTAGTGTCAAAACGAGGGTAGTGAACCGCCCGCTCACTGCGGCCCCGCGTTTACACCAGGTAGGGGAAAAGGGGCGTGGCGCGTCTGCCGCGGAGCGTGCGCAGGCGCCGGCCGCTGCGGGGCAGATGGCGGAAATGGACCCGGTAGCCGAGTTCCCCCAACCTCCCGGTGCTGCGCGCTGGGCTGAGGTTATGGCTCGCTTCGCGGCCAGGCTGGGCGCGCAGGGCCGGCGGGTGGTGTTGGTCACGTCAGGCGGCACCAAGGTCCCACTGGAAGCGCGGCCGGTGCGCTTCTTGGACAACTTCAGCAGCGGGCGGCGTGGTGCAACCTCGGCCGAGGTCTTCCTAGCCGCCGGCTACGGGGTCCTGTTCTTGTATCGCGCTCGCTCCGCCTTCCCCTATGCCCACCGCTTCCCACCCCAGACTTGGCTGTCCGCTCTGCGGCCTTCGGGCCCAGCCCTTTCGGGCTTGCTGAGCCTGGAGGCCGAGGAGAATGCACTTCCGGGTTTTGCTGCGGCTCTGAGATGCTACCAGGAGGCTGCGGCTGCAGGCACCTTCCTGGCGGTAGAGTTCACCACTTTGGCGGACTATTTGCATCTGTTGCAGGCTGCGGCCCAGGCACTTAATCCGCTAGGTGCGTGCCCTAGGAGTACCCCTTTTGCCTGGAAGCACAGCCTTTCTCTGCAGCCACTTATCCCCTTGCCTCTCGCTTACCCACGGATCTCAGCTGGGGAACCCGAGTTGACAAGAAGCTGATCCTATACCGTACCTCGCCGATTTGTTACACCTTGTGTTTCTCTTTGCAGGCCCTTCTGCGATGTTTTACTTGGCTGCGGCTGTGTCAGATTTCTATGTTCCTGTCTCTGAAATGCCTGAACACAAGATCCAGTCATCTGGGGGCCCACTGCAGGTGATGGGCGCTTCTCTTCCAGAGATCTAATCTCATATAACCAATCTTGGGTTAATTTCCTCTTGATCTGGAGATGGCCTTTCTGCATCTGTATTCGCTAGGCACAGGGGATACAGAGATGAATAAGACACCGCCCTCCCTCATGGACCTCACAATCTAGTGAGGGAGCTGGACACAGACATAATTACAATACAGAGTGATAAATGCTCTAGTGGAGGTATGTACAAAGTGCAGTCAGATCATGGGGCGAGTGAATCCTGGGGGAGTCGATGAAGCTTCTTGGAGGAGATGAACTGGGTTTTAAAAGATGAGCAGAGCCGAGCGCGGTGGCTCACGCCTATAATTCCGCACTTTGGGAGGCCAAGGAGGGCGGATCGCCTGAGGTCAGGAGTCTGAGACCAGCCTGGCCAACATGGTGAAACCCGTTCCCTACTAAAAAAAATACAAAAATTAGGCAGGCGTGGTGGCAGGCGCCTGTAATCCCAGCTACTCCGGAGGCTGAGGCAGAAGAATCGCTTGAACCCGGGAGGCGGAGGTTGCAGTGAGCCGAGATCGTGCCATTGCACTCCAGCCTGGGCGACGAGAGCGAGACTCCGTCTCAAAAAAACAAAAAACAAAACAAAATGAGCAGAGGGTGTACGAAATGGGAAAGGTCATTCCAAGTGGAGTATGGCACTTGGAATTTGGAAGTGGGCAGTGGGCTGTGAACTGAAGTGCTTTGGTAAGGCTGGAGAGCTGGCCGAAGAGATGGCTTGCTTTGTAGAAGACTTTGTTTTCCTTTTTTAAGGAGCTTGGACTTTTTCTTGTGGAGCTAAGGGACACATAAGTAGGAGAATGAGATAAAGTTTTTGTTTGAGAACAACATTCTGGCATCAGTATGAAAGATGAAGCCAGAGAGGGAGAAAGTGGAGTGGGTAGATTAGTTGGGGGCTATTGTAGATTAAGGAAGAAATATGGATAAGGTAGGTTGTGATTTTAGATGATCTGACTTCTTGGAACCTTCGGGAGTTCTTAGTCATTTATTGGGTGATACAGGTAGGATTTTATTAGGAGAAACTCTTATCTGTGGAGCATTTGCCGACTTTGTAGAATAGTTGATTGAGGTCCTACGCTGCTGTAGGACCTGGAGATGAAAGCAGTGAAAAGAAACATACCCTGCCCTTGTGTTGCTTCCTCTGCAGAGGAGACAATAAATTAAGTCAAATACATACCTCATTTGGTAGTGATAAATGCTAAGGAGAAAAATAAAGTGTAAATAAACAGGTATATGATCCCTGTCACACTAACAGCTTTTTTTTAGGGGAAATTCTGATGATTAGCTTAGTGATTTCACACTTTTAAATCTCTGGGATCTTTAGTTTATCTCATAGTTTTTAGTTCTATCTTGAAAGTAACAAAGCAACTGAACATTACCCTGAGAAGGGATTGGGGATGAGGTACTAGGAGTTTTGGTCAAGTGAAAATAAAATCAGTTTCCTCACTGCTAAGTTGTGTTACAAGTGACCATTTTAAAATGGAATCTAAGAGCCATTCTACCAATGCAAGAAATATTTAGGCTGAGAGGTTTAAAAACCCAACTTTATTTCGGCTTCTGCCAAACATTTGTATGAACAGATTCTTTGTATCTATTTAGTTGAGGGTTTGGTTCAAACCCTCAAAAATGGTGGTAAGGGTGGCAGAGCAGGGCAGAGCTTATTCAGAAGACATGGTTTGCCCCAGAATATGTATGGAGCCTTGAATTTAGGCATCCCTGTGAACTCTACAGAACCAAGGCTTTTTTTTTTTTTTTTTTTTTTTGAGACAAAGTCTCGCTCTGTTACCCAGGCTGAAGTGCAGTGGCACGAATACAGCTCACTGCATCCTCAACCTCCCAGGCTCAAGTAATCCTCCCATCTCAGCCTCCTGAGTAGCTGGGACTACAGGTGGGTGCCACCATGATTGGCTAATTTTTGTATTTTTTTTTTTGTAGAGACCTGGTTTTGCCATGTTGCCCAGGCTGGTCTTGAACTGGGCTCAAGCGATGCACCCACGTTGGCCTTCCAAAGTGCTGGGATTACAGGCCAAGCCACTGTGTTCCCCTAAGGCTTTTTAAACTAAGCATTTAATTGAAAAGTTTGATAGTTGAGAAATCCCACTTAAATTTGATTCCTTAGTTTCCATAGTTTCCCATGAGATTGACCTGGTAGATAATGGCCATTGTTTGCTTATTAAGCTTTTCTTTTTCCAATACAGATAACAATGAAGATGGTGCCAAAACTGCTTTCTCCTTTGGTTAAAGATTGGGCTCCCAAAGCATTTATAATTTCCTTTAAGTTGGAGACTGACCCTGCCATTGTAATTAATCGAGCTCGGAAGGCTTTGGAAGTTTATCAGCATCAAGTGGTGGTGGCTAATATCCTTGAGTCACGACAGTCCTTTGTGTTTATTGTAACTAAAGACTCGGAAACCAAGTTATTGCTATCAGAGGAAGAAATAGAAAAAGGCATAGAGATAGAAGAGAAGATAGTGGATAATCTTCAGTCTCGACACACAGCTTTTATAGGTGACAAAAACTGAAGTAAAAAGCCCTTATAGGATCAAAAATTGTTCAGGGCTCTTAGAGATGGTGAAAACTATAATAAAACCGTGGCTTTCATATGGACAGAGAAAATGAAAGAAAGGGAAAAGGCAGTGGTATGCAGGCAAATATGGTTTGGTATTTTGTCTTTTAATGACACCTGATACACTCACCTGAATGTTACTTTGATTTTGAAATTGAACACTAGAACTGTTTCTCACCTTTAAAAAGAAGAGCTTATTGGGAATTACATATTCCTTAAAATATACATGGGGGCCTGAATATCAGCCATCTTTATACTATAAAAAGAGGATTATGGATGCATGAATGGTCATGCTTTGGTGATCAAATATTGGTTGAATGCCTATGTATGTCAGGCCCTGTGCTGAGCCATGAGGATTAAAAAGATGAATAAACATGTCTTGTTTAGGAAATGGATGTATAAAAAATTAAGTGCAATAAAGTGTGTGTCCAAAAGTTGACCCAATGGAAAGGATGTTTCGTTTTGTTTGAAATTTATCAAACAGGAGTAGGAAAGAAGGATACCTCCCTGAAGATAGATTGTAGAATGATGAGCTTTTCACTGCATTTACTTTTTGCTTCTTATTGTAGATGCACCTCATATTAGGGTAACAGTTTACATTTCAAGTATTTTAGGACTGCTCTTCAGGTTAACTTAATATGTCCTTCCACCTGGGACCAGGCAGGGGCCACTTGGTGATCTCTGTCCTGAGGGAGGCATTACAGTGTGGTAGAGTATGGGCTAGGAGTCAACTTAGCCAGCCGTGCCACCTATTGGCTTTATAAACTTAGGCATTTGACTTAATCTCAGTGTCTGCATGCATAAAATGGGGATAATCTCTCTGCAAAGTAATGCCATTTATTGTGAGGATTAAATGAAATAGCAAACAAAAAGCATCAGTCTGGTGCCTAGCACTTGATTGACACTCACTAAATGGTTGCAATTATTGTTTTTCTCACTTAGCAAAGCAGTGTTACACCAGTGCCCTGCTTAATCTTTGAATCCTTGAGAATCTTTGAAAAACTTTGAATACATCTCTTGCTGTCCTGGGTTTTGGGTTGGGAGTGCACAAGTAGCATAGTGCAAAAAAATTCCCTAAATGATCTGTAGGATAGTCCAGGGTACAATTTGAAAAATTAGCATTAATGACTAAGGTAGAAGCAGGTACTGTGTTTCACATAAATATTTGACTTAAAATACAATTCATGGTGTTTCATGGAGTAGGGAAGGGTAGCCCCTGTGTCTGTCTGATAATAGAAGTACAATAAATTTAATTGAGAAGATTTGACAGAAATTCTAAGGCTGAAATACTTCATTAATCAGGAAGTGTGACCTTGAACAGAAGAAAAATAACTGCAGCAGTCAAGACTGTTCTGGAAGCAGCAGTCCCTTTGAACAAACATTTTTTTTTTTCTTAGAGACAAGGTCTTGCTTTGTCACCCAGGTTGGAGTGCAATGGTCCAATCACAGTTCAGTGTAATCTTGAATTCCTGGACTCAAGCACTCCTGCCACAGCCTTCTGAGCAGCTGAGACTACAGGCATGTGCCACCATGCCCGTCTAAATATTTTATTTTTCATAGAGACAAGGTCTTATTATGTTACCCAGGCTCCTTTGATAACGATTTTAAGTGAACTTCAGGTCCAATTTGCAAAACCCCAAAAGCAGTGGGCTCTGTCAGTGGCTGCAGTACTGAAGGGCAAGTAGTTAGAATATGTTCTCTGCATTCATAGCTTCATGTGGATGATGACTGTCATCATCTTTGTACAATGGGCATATGTGGGGTTAAAAGCAGAAGTGATCTTAATGTTTGTCTTTACCATAATTATTACCTCCCTTGGGAATCATTTTATATCCTGCCTTGTTAACGCTTAAAAACAATCAGTGTTCTACATGAAATTATTTAGTGTTTTCCACTTCAGTTTAATTTATATTCAGAGCACTTAAAAAGATATTTACACAAGTAAAAATTCCAGGGGGGGGGGGGAGAGAGAGAGAGAGAGAGTGTGTGTGTGTGTGTGTGTGTGTGTGTGTGTGTTTTAACAGCAAATGGAAGTGTATAAAGAAAGGAACATGAGTCAATGAGGGTAAGTAAGAACCTGATCTTGGATGATCAAGGAATGTCTCCCTGAGTAGGTGATACTTAAACTGATAAACAGGAGTGAAGTGGGCTACAAGTGCTGGTGGTGAGCATTTTAGTTCAGAAAAAACACTTGCAAGAGGTCTAGTGCCAGAAGGAGAGGTTGAGGCACTTTATTATATAAAGAGTAAGATACGTCCAGATAACGCATGTAGAACCAGCAAAGATTTGGAAAGTATCCTCTTGGGGAACTAGAGTTAAGACCAAGAAATGTTGTGTTTGGGATACCAGCAAAGCAAGGGCCCCCAAAACATGAGTAAAATCGAGTTTTGATAGTTAACTTGAATTCTGCTATAAAGGCATCTAAAAAGATATCAATTGAGTATGTTAAATTTTGTGTCATTTATCAGTTTTTATTTTGCATTACATAGGTGGGGGAGATAAGGTTCACCTTACCTGAATTTTCAGTGCTTAGGACTTCTAAAGGGCTTCAGCCTTAGGCATAATTCTAGTCAAGCCCAGTGTCTTCCTTTTTACAATAATAAGCTCGGTCCAAAAATTGTGATTTATCTTGCGTGCCCCACGTGGCTAGTGACACGCTCTAGGCCTAAAATTCAGAACTCTTGAGCTAGCACTCCCTGCCCCTTTAAGAATGAAGGAACTTAGATAAAAATAAATCCAAGTTTAGTAGGCACGGGCTGTAGTTGAGGCCTGGCGGGAAGCTCTTTGAGAACTAGAACGCCCCAAGACAAAATGTATTCGCTAAGTCGCAAACGCGCGACGTGCCGTTACCATGGTTACAGTAGTCTCCAAAGCCAATGGAATGAATTGTACTATCGATACGGCCGGGACAACTCCGCCCCCGAGCCGAAGGCCAATGGTATGAGCTGTAATAACAGTCTCCACAAGAAGCACAGTCTCTGGCGCCATTGGCGTGCGTCGTCTCTATGGTTCCCGCCGGAAGGACCCCTTTGCGTCTCTGCGGCGAGCGCGGTTGCTATGACGCCCAGGTCTCCTTCTGCACCTGCCGCTGGCAGCTGGGCGCCTAGGGGCCGAGCGACCCCGGGACCCTCGCGGCACCCTCCGCAGGAAAATTTCCGACTTGGTTCCTGAGGTTCCTGCCTCAGCCCTAAGGAGGAAAGCACCCATTCTCCCCTCTTTTCCGCATTCCGGGCCTTTTGTGCTTCTCCCCAGCATGGCCCGAAACTACAGGAGGGGAAACCCTCCTGGCTCGGCCTTTCTAGCCCCTGGCTGCAGTGATTCCGCCTGAAGGAGAATTAGCCCGTTTTCCCCGGACCCAGCTGCCACAAGCATTTAGTATTAGGCTGCCGCCTATTATTAGAGCGGGCTTAGAACATCCTCAGCGAGGTAGGTCGGCGTTCCTTTTCTCACTTAAAGGTGAGGTGTCGAGACGCGTCCCTGGACAGACAGCGCCCGAAGGTCCAGGCCACTATGAAGTCCACGGAGGCGCAGCTTCCCCCTGCGTGTAGGCCCGCGAACAAAGAACTACTGTGTTCTGTTTTTGTTTTTTTTTTTTTTGGCCGATGTTCGTCATGCAGAACCTTGAATCCCGATGAAGATTTGGAGGCCTTTTGTATCCTCAGCATCAGAGGTCATGAAGTCAGTTACCTTCTGCCTTTCAAGCTACAACTTTTTCCACTTCACTCATCACTCCAAGCACCAGTTTTCTTCTCATCCTGCTTATTTCACAGCCATTTTAACCTTTCCCTGTTAACGCTGCACATTATTGAATGTCCATTTGTCTCCACCACCTCTGTCATCTATAGACCACCTCCTTCTGCATTCCTGCTGCAATGCTTTGTGTACCTAAGTATTTCGCATTCTCCAGCTCTGCAGTCATTGGGAAGATTTTTTGTTTTTCTTTGCATTATGGCAACCTTTCAGTCTTGGGTAAACTAGAGACTAGGAGAAGTGCACATTGGTAAATATAAACATTAAATACTGCAGGCCTAGTGTGTTTTGAAAATGGAAAAAAAATCAAAATTGCAGTATTGGACCCATTTCAGGCTTATATAATGAAAGAAGGTTGTTCCTTGTTTAATTAAATTTTATTGATGTGTTTATCAATGTGAAAAGGGCATTCAAAATGATCATGTAAGATAGGATTTCAACTTTAAGCCCGTACGAACCCAACATTGGGGATATGATGTAATTTTCCGGAGAGGAGATAATTGAATTGAAACAGTACTTGTGCCTTCTTTTCCTGACAATTTCTGAATCAGAAAACATTCTTTGTGACGTAAGCCAAGAAACAAAAACAATAAAGAGTGACTGAAAATATATATTTTTGGCAAGGGAGCAGACACAATAGTTCTAAAAAGACTGGAACAGAGGGCCTTAAATATGGCATAAGATTAACTTAGATCCAGTGCAATTTTATTTTTGCTTGGAAAGCTTGCCTTAATTTGTCTTACAATATGCATTCCTTGTTGAATCTTACTATTTCTTCTTCAGTATTCAGGTTTAAAAGTAAACCTATTTTGAGGATATACAGAACATATACATTTTAAACAGCTGTTTGGGGCTACGATGATTTGGATATTTTGATTTCTCAGTCCAATCGAAGCAGTTGTTTGTGATGTCTCATGCTTAGAGCCAGGTCAAGTTTTTAAATATTGAGAAATTCAGCTTTCTCCTCTAGAACAGATCGGAAAACAAAAACAAGTTCTGCAGCCTTTTCAATCTTGCACATAAAATTGGAACTGGATAAACCCTAACTCTTGAAAAAAGAGTATATTAGATGCTATATTGCAAGGGGCTTTCCTTTCCTTTACTCTTCTAATATGTATTTATTGAATAGCAAGGCATAAATTAAAAAAAAATTTAACCTGGGCAAACATGGCAAAAACCTGACTCTACAAAAAATGCAAAAAATTAGCCAGGCATGGTGGAGCACTCCTGTAGTCCTGGCTACTCTGGAGGCTGAGGTGGGAGGATCACTTGAGCCTGGGAGGTTGAGGCTGCAGTGAGCTATGATCACACCACTGCACTCCAACCTGGGCTACAGAGTGAGACCCTGTCTCAAAAAAATAAATTCCTGTCATTCTAGCACAGTTTTTTGTTTTTGTTTTGTTTGTTTTGTTTTGTTTTGAGATGGAGTTTCACTCTTGTTGCCCAGGCTGGAGTGCAATGGCGCGATCTCGGCTCACTGCAACCTCTGCCTCCCGGGTTCAAGTGATTCTCCTGCCTCAGCCTCCTGAGTAGCTGGGATTATAGGCATGGGCCACCACACCCTGCCAATTTTGTATTTTTAATAGAGACGGGGTTTCTCCACGTTGGTCAGGCTGAGTCTCGAACTCCCAACCCCAGGTGATCTGCCTGCCTCAGCCTCTCAAAGTGCTGGGATTACAGGCGTGAGCCACGGCACCTGG